TTGATGAGAATTCAGACTACGCCATTTTCTCCGAGATGTCTTCATCTCCCGCTTCGATGGAAGCCGCCAAGATCTTAGATGCGTTCGGATCTCAGCCTGGGTATTCTAAGCAGCATATACTCAAGCCGCCTTTACCGGCGTGCCGACATGGTTGAGATTGCCTAAAGATCGATGGCCTAAGGAATGGAAGATTAAATATAATGACCCCTTAGTACCAACGCTGTTAGCGTTATACGGACGCCCAGATAGTGGTGGTATGTGGGAAGCGTATTTTGAGAAACAGATTGGGAAGAAAGGATGGCAATCAACGCTCAAAGAAATTTGGCGTTCTGTTTTCTACCACCCCGACCTTGATGCTCTTCTAGTTGTGTATGCGGATGACCTCAAGCTCGCTGCACCAACCAAGAAGATCAAGAACGCTTGGAAGTCAATTTCTAGCATGATTGACATTGATGACCCAGAACCTTATAACAGGTACTTCGGGTGCGAGCATAGAGAAGAGCAGGATGTTAAACTCGATATCAAAGAACACCCTTTCCATGACATATTCAGCACGGCTAAATCCGTTGCCGCGCAGACTAGGACCGAGGACTATTGGTCATATGATGAGGAACAAAACACATATACTAGGCGCCACCTATATCCTTGGAAGAGGCGTTTTGCACCTGTTGACTGCGCCTTGCCAGCATTTAATTTCCTTGCTAAAATGACCACCATCAAGCACAATGACGAGGGTGCCTTTAACGAGGGGGGCTGGTGGGCGGGTAGGACTGTGTTCTACTGCTGCCCTAACCGGCAAGCCGAAGTAGAGCACCCAGAAGGCTACGCAATGGCAGGTAAGAAGAAAACAGGTGTTAGGAAAAAGACCTCTGCCAAGCAAGCTGCGCGCGCGCAGAAGTTCACCAACATGTCTGACCTCCCGGTCAAGAAGGGTGAATGCGTGCGCAAACCCGTGAATACTGTTTATTATGATATGCGCGAGTTTCTATCCTCATGCGTAGATGCATACTGTGACTTAGCTAAGGTCAAACGCAAAGACCTCAGAAAGGCCTCCACTCCATTTCATGAGCTACGGAAAGCAAGGCCTCGTGAAAACGAGGAGCAACCTGAGGGACGTCTGAAGGGCGTCGCAAGCCGGGTCCTTATGAAGATTCTCTTTGCCGCGCGGATGGCGCGTTAGGGCCTGCTGCGTGCAACTCAGTCCTTAGCTTCTAGAGTCACCAAATTGTCACCAGACTGTGATGCAGGGTTGCATAGGTTGGTATCATACATTAATTCTTCTTTAGATCTTACCATGCGCGGTTTCATGGGCGATCGGTTTTCTGAATGTCAACTTTGGCTCTTCGCAAATGCGGATTTCGCAGGTGAGTTTGAAAATAAAAGTACAACTGGTTCTTTTATGGCACTAGTAGGACCGAATACTTATTGGCCTATTAACGCCTGTAGTAAGAAACAAACTGCTACCGCGATGTCTAGTACTGAGGCCGAGGTTGTTGCCACTAACCACGCTGTCCGTCCGCAGGGTCTCCCGTCGTTGACTATTTAACTACCTTGTTGCCATGAGCGACCCGAAGTGTCCGCCTAAGACACGACGCGCTGGCGTAGCTGCCAAGCCAAAGGCGCCCACACTGCATGAGCCCGTGTCGGTTGCAAGGGTTGACCCTGAATGGATGAAATTCGGCATGGTTTTTCTCCACAAAGGCCCTGAAAGTGTTGCTAATGTGAACCACCTTCAAATTAGGTTAGGTCCTAGTTTCACTGTTCGCTTTATGGAAGACAACCAGGCCACCGTTACTATTATATCCAACGGTAATTCAGTCAACATGAGACACGCCGATCGCAGACTTTCGATAGTGACCAATTCGATTTGATCAATGTTAATACTCTTCATCAAGCTGCAGATGTGTTAACCAAACATTCACTTCTCCACAAAAGTGGGATTCGGTGCTTTACATTTTTAATATGGTGAATTACACATCCCAGAAACCCAAACGCAAGGGCAACTCCTTAGCCGTGACGCCCTCAACGGGCGATCCTGCGCAGTACTTCGACGTTTCCACCCCTGAGAACTCCGACAATGAAGATGAACAGGATCAGGGGGGTAACGGTAACGCACTGCCCAATCAGCAACCCAAACAACAGCCCAAACTCATGGTTGAATGGTGTTGTTCACCAGATTCCGAACTTGGACAACCAAGAGCTGCATCCAAAGGTTGCACTGTGTTTAGGGTCACTGAAAGCGAGGACGCCACGACAAAGGAATGTGTTGAACAAATCGCGCAGGAAACAATTAAGTTTTGGAAGGACAACGGCAAATGCAAAATTCACGTCCACATTTCTCTCCCTTGCACTGGAGGACGCCAATGGAACAATGTGAACAAGGGTTTGCCAGGAGGAAAAGAGAGGATACAACAACATCAGAAGAAGTTTTCCAACTTCACCTTCAATTTCTTTTGAACTTGCTTCCTTTTGTGTGTATTGGAAATGGAAGAGCGTTAGACGTTTTAAACAAAAGTATGAACTTGTTGACTACAGACTCCATGGTTGTCAGGTAGGTGCGACGGACGAACATGGGACACCCATTAAGAAGGGTTGGACGATTTCGGCGAAGGTCGAGGCGTTTGCTGCTCTTGAACAGCGTGCACAGTCTAGAGGTAAGGCACTTATAGGGAAGCTGAAGGTTACCCGTTTAGGTTGACTGATAGGATTCATACCATGTTCAGAAACCATCGTCAACATGCTGTAACTAACCTGTGCACTGAGGTTCAGACTGTTCACGCAGCATGCGCCACTACCACCACACACCCGCACTCCTGCACTCACCCTCACACTTACACCACTTACTACCCACACACTCACTTCGCCACTCACACTTCACAGACTGAGGACGCCATACTTAGGTACGTCACTCCTGTCCCAGCGCGTTCCTTGTCCGACTTGCATCCTTCACTCCTTCACCGGATTGCCTAGCCACGATCGTTCACGAGGATGACCTCCTCCAGATTGACTGGGACAACTTCAGCGACGAGCCTATAGACAAGCATTTGTCCGTAAACTACTTTCCGGAGACGGAAGAGCGATGGACAAAGTTCATGGCATACGCTATTTACCAACGCATGATGCTTACAGAGGATGGCTCCAAGGAACACTATGAACAGTTGATTGGGCTCCTCCGCACATTGCATCCCATTGCATTGTATGATGTTTGGTTGAAAAATTACTGTATATGTATTTTCGGATGCAATGCAGGGCCTCACAACTATACATCGTACGGCCACCTCAATGTGCTTCCGGGGACGCAACGCCCGAAAGCTGCGGTCATCGTCACAGGCTCTATTTTCTGCTTCCTTGACGGAAAGCGAAGCAAGACTGCCTATACGAGCCCATCGAGGAGATTCGGCTTGCTTTTGGTGTCGATTGGGATGATGTTGAGGTCAAGAATGTGTGGGGAGGCGATCTCCCACGACTCATCCGTTTTCGAGATGCCCGACTACGTGGACGATTTCTGGGTCTGACAGAGATTCCACGGTGAGACCACCGACCTTGAAGGCAATTTGTGTCTAAGGAAAAGGGACGCCTGTGTTTTGAGGGTTATGAGCCCAACGTTAGGCTCTGGGGGCGCGTTCGTGTGAGCGCCATGGAGCGTGCTCGTTCGCTTCCGCCAGTGAATCCATGGTGGAGCGACAAGGTCAAGATGGAGGCCATCCTAAGGTCGCAAAGACCAGAAGATCTGCCGGCGCCGGCAGATGGGGATCTGGATGAAGAGGCTGCAGCAGTGCAGGACGGATGCGCTGCGGGTTCGGGCAAAGGACGCGGGGCAGTGTCCATGAGTGGTTCAGCTGGTGCTAGGCTGTTCACCACCCCCGAAAGTGCACGAAGCTTCATCGAGGGTCCGGTCACTGGTCGTGGGCGACAGACGGATGGTCGAATGCCTGCAAGTGAAGGGTCTTCTGGTCCTCCCACATCCATGGGGCCGCTGCCGCCACAGCATCAGCCGAAGCAGAAAAAGCACGCTGAGCCTGGCCGCGATCGAGAAAATGATCTCCAACGTGCCCTGGAAGCAGAGATGGTGAGTTTTTTGAGGGAACAAAATGCTCAACTACAAGAGCAGGTCGAGGCTTTGAAGAGGCAACAGCAAGGTCACCCTGCTAGTGGTCCAACATCCACCCCTTCGTCATGGGAACAGGTTGAGATCACCAAAGAAGGTTGTATGGGTCCAACCTCTGGGGATGGTGGCTTGGGCGTGGCTTCACAAGGGCCGCATGATGATCTACCTCGCACCCCTCGAGGACGAACTACGTTGTCCGTGTGCAGAGCACGCACGAGCTTGATGAAGGATTTCTAATATGACTCCTTCGTCGCTGGAATTCATTCCTCCCAGAGATTTTCCCTACGGGCAGCTCTTAGTAAAGGGTGGTGTTGAAATTCACCTCATCCCCATAGACCCCGTAGCGTGTACTCTCAAGGTAGAGTGAAAAGAGCGCTTAACGGCTAGACAGGGTTAGCTAGTAGATTAGAGCTGATCCTGTAAAATACAGAATGTTGAGAGGTTGGTGAGACGGTGCTTTTGATCAGAACAGACTCTGAAGTTGCAATGACTTTGCGCAGTATACTATTTTGCGCGTGTGTGTGTGTTGCGATGTTGATGAGTTTCAACGTCAGAGATGTGATCATGTAATCTTTTGATGGATTGATGGATCGGTCAGTGTCAGCAGTTCATGGATGAAGTTTTGACGAGTGAAAAATGGAGCTTTGTCCAGACAGATATATGGATTGATTGAAGTTCTAATCGGCATGTAACACTAGGTGTCCTATTCCAGTCCCCAAGAACAAGGGTTTTGGAAATACGGCTCGGGGCAGGCAGGTGTCATGTTTAGGCAGCCCACATTCCTGGCTAAGATTGGGTTACAGATGTTTCCCTTCGTTAGAAATTTTTTAGCATCTTGAGCGCTCGACTAGCCTGACACCTGTGGTTTTTGCATTCGTTTCCTCCTGTCCAGGACCAGTTGCGTGATGTCACTGCATCCAATCACGCACTGCAGGCGCAGTTCAAACAGAACAGATTCGTGGTTGTCCAGGAAATGAGTCCTGTTTCTACAGCAGAGTGTTGACACCTTTTTTGGAAACTCTGAAGGGCGCAGGATCTCCCATGTTTTGCATAGTAATTATCACATGCAAATGTGATTTGTTGTGTCCTCGGCCTACCTTGGCGTCTGCGACCCCCGTTAGGAAGCGTTGAACTGGGTGCCCTTAGGCTCCCATTATGAACTGGTGAATATTTTGGGCAAGCGAGACCTTAGCTATCCATGGTCCGACAGTGTCATTGTCCAACTTGTGAGGCAGAGTTGGAGACGTTGAGGACACCTCGCTGCTTTGCCAACTCTGCATTTGAATAGACTCTGGTAGAATGCGGAGTCCGGTAGAGACGAGGATTCATTTGGAAAAGTTGGCGGAGTCACGCAAGGCGCCACGAGAGTTTCGTGGGGTGTGTTTTATTTTGCGGAATTTAAAACAGGCAGCTGAAGCCAGATCACGATCCGGTTTGGGCGCTGGTCCTGAAGCACAGGCAAGTGGAGATCAAAACATAATGATGTTTGTTTTGTAGTGATTTGGGGTGCTCGCTTTGAAGGTACATCAACTGAAAGATGAGAGAGACATGTTGAAGGCTTGACTCGACTGCCACAGTGTTTGGTCCTGGATGTTACTTTGCGACTGCTCCGACAGTACAGCATCCATGGCAAGGTGGCGAGATGTTTACCATCGTTTACCTACAGACTGGATTGGCTATATACATGGAAGTCACTGCGGGTCTGATTGTTTGGATGTCATTTCTAAGAGATGTCAAGTTTAGTGGCATGAATGGCAGGTGGCACACTCGAGGCATGAAGGTTACTGTACACGACACTTGAGGCCCAAACTAGCGCGTAAAAGACGGCGCGTGTTCGTTTTCATGGTAGCGGAGCTCTGCTGGTAGCCCCAGCAATTCCAGGGAGACCCTTTTTAATCCACCGGGGAGACGGCTCACCGAAAATCCCGGGTGAGCTAGTATCCGGGTCGCGCACATGGCGGGTATCGAGGAGCACAAGGGCACTGGGGCGGCAACAGGAGCACCGAGCTCCCTGGGTGGTGTTCAAGGGTTGGTCCAGGCCCTCCATGGCCTCATTGAGGTACAACGAAGTTCAGGTTTCACCAAGCACCTGAAACCACCTACGAACTTCTCCCCTGAGAACCGCAGCGAGGAGCTGAATAGATGGATGGACTGGAGGTTCCAATTCAAAACCTTTGTGGGTGCAGTGGACCCCTCAATGCTGGCCCACATGAAGAACGCAGAGAAGGAGGAGAATGTCATCAACGACGCCCTCCAAATGTTCGACCCCAGTCCGAGAGATTGTACTCATTGCTCACAGGACTCATGAAGCAGCGTCCATCAAAATGGACTTGAGGCATGGCGCATCCTCACCAAGGACTTGCATGATTGTTCGTGAATATGAACGAAGCGCCAACGTGACCTACCCGGACGGCCGGACGACCTGAAGATTGCCTCGGTGATAGCTGCATTGCCCTCCACCCCGAGGCTCCACATTCAGATGACACTACAAGATGACACGACGTTCGAAGACCTCAGGCAGCGCATCGAGATGAGTGATGGAAGCCTACAGGTGAACGTCAAGCCTTTGATGGATCAAGAAGATCGTGGAGGCCCCATGGAAGTCGATGCCATCTGGTCCAAGGGTGGCAAGAAGGGTGGAAAGAAGGGTAAGAAAGGGAAAGACAAGGGGAGGCAAGATCCCTTGGTCCAAGGACGGAGGCAAGAAGAGTGGCAAAGTTTAAAGGCGCCAAGAGCTTTGGCAAGCAAGATGGAAAGAAAGGAAAAGGAGGAGTTGGCACATGCCACAATTGTGGCAAACCCGGGCATTTTGCTCGAGAGTGCTGGGCTCCAAAGAGGGTGAACAAGGTGGACTGGAGCGTCAACTGGCACAACCTCCCACTCTACGTACAGAGCTGGAGTCAGGAGGGTGCGATTGGTCACGCCTACAGGTCTGGCGACTATGGAGATCTTCGACTTGACCCAGGACGACTCGATGGACGAGCCGGAGGTGTCGGAAGATGATGTGAGGACAATGAGATCTTCTACGACTGCCAGAGCGAAGAGGAAAGTGAGCCACGAAGCACTTCGTCGTTGGAAGAAACAGGAGATCATGACTTGAGAGCCCAATGCAACAAGGAGGAGATGGACGAGATCAGAGTGTGCATGGTGAAAAGCGTAGCCCCCACTTATGTGGTCATGACTTTGGATTCAGGCGCAGATGTCTCTGTGGCACCTGAGGAGCACTATGAGATGGGCATCCCTGGCAACTCACGTTCAGCGCAAATGGTGGATGCACAGGGAGAAGCCATTCGCAGTTCTGGCAATCGTCGACTATATGTCTTCAGGTCTACACCAGGAATGGAGAGATGATTGAGTTCGTAGTTTGCCCTGGGAGTTGGAGTGACGCATCCTTTGCTGAGCTTTGGACGCTTGCTCAAACAGGGACGGGCGCTGTCAAGAGATCAAGATGGTCTGTACGTGGAGCACCCAGGAGCGTAATTCCTTGGTGATGGACGTTCAGGTCTGTGCAGTTCGAGCTCATGACATGGAGAATGAGCCCATGACAGTCGAGAATGAAGCCCCAAAGAATGAAGAGACACCAAAGGAGAATGAGGTCAAACCGAATGACACTGCGACACAGGAGCATATGACAACAAGCCACCGGCTGGGTCAATGGGCAACGGAGATCGTCGAGAACACACAGAAGGTGATCGTGGTGTGAAGCGAGCTGTTGAGCAGGAGGACAATGAGACTTTGGCCTTGATGGAAGAGCAGGAGCCAAAGGCCGGAACAACTCAGCCAGTCGAGGAGACACCTATGAAGAAGTCCAAGACAGTGGAGACAGAAGCTGTGGAACTACGTTCACCTGGCTCACCACGGAGGAGTCAGAGATCCATCGCCTTGTCGAGTGGAGAGAGTGAATGTGTGGCCATGGTTGGTGGCTGTAGTGAAGGACTCTTGATTCGACATTGCTGGAAGTTCTTGACAGACGAGGAGGCGGAGATGGTGTGCAGGTCAGACTCCTCAGCGGCAAGGTCATTGGCTGGACGCATTGGAGTTGGAAGAACAAGACACATGGCTGCCGGACTGCTATCACTTCAGCAGCGAGTAAACTCCAAAGAAGTGCGCATCTCTTGAGCAAGGCCAGGATAAATGGTCTCAAGTATTTGATCAAGATGATCGATGGTGATGTCGAGAAGGTGGGCAAAGCACAATACAATGAGATCGGGCTGAAGGAGGAGCTCAAGAAGAACACCACCAAGATGGCCAAGGCCATGGGTGCCAACGCCAAAGTGGCACTGGTGAGAGGAAGAAGACGAAGGGCACGATGATGAGTCCTGGTGGGTTCGGCCATTGGTGACCATGCTACGCTTGGCTGTGATTGGGGCCTTGAGTCTGGCACGGTTCGCACTAGATGGAGTACGGGCATGGCTGAATGGAAGACGGGCCTCTGAGGGCATCATCGAAGAGAAGCAGGACGAAAGAGAAAGGGGACAAGCGGAAGAACCGCGTGTGAGAAATGAGACGCAAGTCATGGCACCACAGCCGAGTGAGTCCTGGCGTGAAGAAGACCAGGAGAAGGTGAATATGCAGTGGCAGATTCTTCGGCTAGAAGTCGTAGTGGCCGAGCAGTCAGAGAAGTTGAAGGAAGTACGAGAAGACAGAGACATCCAGTACAGGGAGGTCGTTAGAACGTACAACATGTGCAGCGACCTACGCTTTCAGCTGGAAAATGTGAAAGAAGAAAGGGACAATGCTGTGAGAAAGGTGACCAGGCTCAGTGGCACAGAGGATGAACGTGCTCATGAGATGGAGCGACTTGCTGAAGATTGCGCACGAGCCTGGGAGGTGACTGAGTTGTGGAAGAAGAGAGTGAAAGAAGTCGAGACAGAGTCAAAAGCCCAGCTGGCAGAAGCGCGGCGAGCAGCTCATTTCACCCTAGAGCGCAAAGAGTGGATGGTCACGCGTACAGGATCATGCTACCACTCGCGTGAATCCTCTCACGTTGCGAATAGCAGCGGAGTCAAGCATCTCAAACCATGTGCCTACTGTATACGACCTGCCATAGGGGGGGGGCGTGTTAGAATCCAAGTCAAGTTTAGTGGCATGAATGGCAGGTGGCACACTCGACGCATGAAGGTTACTGTACACGACACTCCAAACTAGCGCGTAAAAGACGGCGCGTGTTCGTTTTCAATAAGTTAATTTCTAATCAGAATAGACCTTGGGATCCGTTGGTCTATCGGTCTATCCGAGTCTTGGAAAGTCGCAAAAGCTCCAGGCTGAGAGTTTGCCTTAGTCCTAGCTAGAACACCGTGCGTATAGAAGTTGTGGGATGAGAAGCACTAAGTACAGCGTATGGCTACCATCTTTGTTTACATTTTCCCATTGGACTTAGGTATTTGATTCCGGGTTCTTGTCCAGGTCCGCTTGGAAGAGTTGAGCACGAACACAACAGGTGTTCAACATGACCAGCAAGAGCAGGCCCTGTTCAGTCAGCTATATATATATGTTATATATATATACATCAATCCTTGTATTTGTGGCCTGTTAAAGTTTCAAGGTGCACACACAAGAGCTGAAGCGCTTGCGGCAGGACGCGTGCTTGATCTTGACGTATTTACAAACGTAAGTTTGTTACCTTTTCTTGGAAGGGGCTTCCCCATCACTTCGTCTTAAAGGACCTAGCAGGCGACGAACGCTTTGCGGAATGATGCAAGCCCATCTGTTTGGCGAGCGTATTCTTGTGGACGAGGGGTTACCAGTGTGGCAGCGTGACTTTTGAGTGTGTGGGGTCAGTTTGCATCGCTGCTCTGTTCTTGGAGGGCAGATGCAGGAGTCGAAACCAGCCCAAACATGTGGCGTGGCACAAATGTTGCTGTAGGATGGAGGCGAGGAGTGTTGGACATGTTGCTTGTTTATTTTTGGGGTTCTTTTGCCAAGCGCCGTGGCAGGGCTGCCTGATGTTTCCGTTTGACTTACGCAGGATGTTTGGTAGGAAAAACTTGGCTTGGAGGTTCCCCCACCTTGCTTTCGGAGAGTGTCTCTTGCGAAACGCTCGCCTTGGAGATTTCAATCATTTTCGGACGACGTGACACCGTGACAACGGGGCTTTCGAGATGTACCACCGACTTTTCGGTGGACTGAGTCTGGTACTTTCGACTTCCCGCGAAGTCTCCAACGAAGCACTCGTTTGGATCTGTCCCGCTTTGAAACGATCGCGGTGTCAGGCAAGAGTTTTCATCATAGTGTTCATATGTGTTCATGAAGGTGGTCGACAAGAGTGATAGAAAAAACTGTCCAACAAGATCTTCAAGCAAGAGCGCCACGACTGTGGCGCAAGAGTGGAAGAGTCTCGAGCAAGAGTGTGAAGCAAAAGCGTCGCACAAGAGTGTCCTAGAAGAATACGCAAGAATGCCCTCCAAGAGTGGCAGAAAGATCAGAAAGAGTGTCCCAGAAGACTGTTGCGCCAGAGTGTCAAGCAAGAGCGCCTTGCAAGAGTGTCCTGCAAGAGTGCCCTAGCCAGACCAAGAGCGTTCTACAAGCGCGTCCCTTGAGTGTCGCACCAGTGCCTGTCGAGACTGTCCCAGAAGAGTGCCGCGCACGAGTAATAAAAAAATTGGAGAGCAAGAGACAGAGGAAGAAGACAAACAAGTGAGGCCATGGGACAGCGACGGGACAATGCGCGCATCACAAAAGGAAACAAGCCTGGGAGACAAGTGGGTAGACAAGACACAGCAGCGACAGCGGCCAGACAACCCGACACTAAACCAAACAAGGCTTGTAACAAGACAGCAGCAGGAAATCTCGGAATTCAGTCACCCAGTCATTGAGACATGTTTTGCGAAAAGTTGTGTTAGAAGTTCCACAAGAGTCCCACACAAAAAGGTTGCGCTAGAGCGGCCTACATGAGTGTCATGTGGTCACACAGTCCGAGAGAGTCAGCATTCGGGTTCGCATTCTCAATCTTGTGGATTGTTTGTTAAGGTTGCTTTGCTTTTTCCCACCGCTCTCACAACCGCAGGATGTCGAGGCTCTACACAATCAGAAGGAGCAACTAAGAAAGCACCTTCAGGACAATGCGGCCTACGTGAGTTTGCTTGCTCGAGCCATGGGTTTAGATTGCGCAATCTTTCTTTGCCGGCTTTAATATGCAGCGCTCCTTTGGCGAAGCATAGTTTGTCGTTTCCTCCAATGGCGGTGTGCCATTCAGTTTCTTTGCATCAAACACTCTCTCTCGCCTTGTATAATGGTTCGGGCTCATTGCTGCCATTCCTCACGTTTCTATCGGATTGAGAAGCCGTGTCAAAACTTGGGTGTGGCAGCGGCGTGCGCTGCCACCTGCTTACGGCATTTACTTGCAATATCCCCGATGCCACGGGCTATCTAAAATGAGTGTTGACCACGGAAAACCCCTTTTATTTGACTCATTTACTTGTAGTTTAAGGGTTATCCAAAATGAGTCTTAAACAAAAATGATGACACGGATGAACTAGTTTATAGTGCCAGTTTGGAAAACAAATATCCCGGCAAGAGACCCCAAACAGTGTGTGTGTGTTTATAGTGCAAGCAGAAAGTCTAGAGATCTAGACGCATTGGGGTCCAGAAAGGTGATGGTGGTGATGAAGTGAAGGTGGGTGTGAGTGAGTGTGGGTGAGAGGGAGTGTGAGCGTGAGTGAGAGTGGGAGAGTGTGAGTGCGAGTGTGAGTGAGAGTGAGTGTGGATGAGAGTGAGGGTGAGTGTGAGTGTGAGTGTAAGTGAGCGTGAGTGAGAGTGAAGGTGGGTGTGAGTGAGTGTGGGTGAGAGTGAGTGTGAGTGAGAGTGGGAGAGTGAGTGTGAGTGTGAGTGAGAGCGAGTGTGGGTGAGAGTAAGTGTGCGTGAGAGTGAGAGTGTGAGGGAATGTGAGTGAAAGTGAAAGTGGGAGAGGCGCAGTGTGAGGGAGTGTGAGTGTGAGCGAGAGTGGGAGACTGAGTGAGCCGTTCGACGGTTCACAGGGGCCACTCTGCGGGGTCACCCTGGGCTCTCACTAGGAGAGACGCACTTATGATGATGCGTACTGACTAGACAGCGGTGCCACATGCCAGCCTGAGTTAAAAACCTGAGATGCCAGCCGGATAGGTAGGAAGTTAAAGGCCTTTGCTTTTGGGTTGGAGGTTATCGCAAGGGCGTTGGAGGTCAGCCTAAGGTTGGAGGCCGTCGCTAGTAGGTGGTGGGTGGTACACAAGCAAAACAAAAGTGACAAGTAGTAGGTTAAAGGCCATCGCTTTTAGGTTGGAGGTCCTTGCAAGGCCGTTGGAGGTCAACACCTAAGCTTGGAGGCTGTCGCTAGTAGGTGAAAGGTAGTAGTTGGAGGCCAGCGCAACGAGTTTACCGCAAGTACCTGTGCCCAACGTGTCTTCCTCTCCCCAACTCTGCAGACTGAATAGGAAAGCGTCCAGTCTGACAGAGTGGACGCGCCGGCCCTAAGGGCAACCGGCATAGAAACTATTAGAAGGACACCAAAAATAGGAAGCGGCCACAGCAACGAGGTGACGGGTTAGGAGGCCCACAAGAAAATAAAAGGACCGGATAACCCCACATGATAAGTTTTACAAATTTCAAATGTATATGAACATCACATGGGAGACGGAGTAGTGAGATGAAAAGTCAATAACGAAGTGTGAGGAGAGAAGGTATATGAGGCGGTTATGCTCAGACGTGCAGTCTAAGTGATGATGTGATGGACGAGGGTGAGAAGGAGGGGAGGGAGGAGGTGTGTGTGTGTGTGGTAAGATGGCGTGCGTGTGTGTGTGGGTGCGTGATAAAGTGTCTGATGATGTGATGAACAAGGATGAGAGGGACGAGAGGGGCGAGAGAGAGAGAGAGAAGGAGGCGGAGAGAGATGTTTGGAGGCTCTGGATTTTGCCATCAGATCCGCATGCGACCTTCAAAACGTAACACACTCGAAACGACCATCAAAGCTATCAAGTGGTCTTATCCCGACCACGGCGGGCAGTGTTAGCAGGATGTAAAGCAAGAAGAGGTGAGACACGCTTTTTTTCTCTCACGCAGAGATGTAGAGTGAGCTCCAGGCAGGACCTGAGCTCCGGTCAACTCGCACGACTAGTCAGTGAGTTCAAACCGAATATATTTTCAACACTGAAGGCTTCCCAAACGACTGGCTCAAACAAAAGGTAACCCAAAAAAAAGGCCTTGCCAGTCAGGCTATACTGCAAGTCACATGTCACAAAACATCAGAAGTGTCGATGTCAGAAACGAACTTGGTCAGTGCCAATTCTCGGGTACTGCGCCTGCCACGCGGAATGTTGAGATGATATGAGCCTGCCACGCGGCAGGCAGCCAGCGGCACCAGCGGCGACAACGCGCGCCGCAGGCCCTTCTGGAGGCTCTGGATACTGCGCCTGCCACGAGGACAGCCAGAGGTACCAGCGGCGACAACGCGCGCCGCAGCCCCTTCTGGAGGCTCTGGGTACTGCGCCTGCCACGAGGACAGCCAGCGGCACCAGCGGCGACAACGCGCGCCGCAGCCCCTTCTGGAGGCTCTGGGTACTGCGCCTGCCACGCGGAATGTTGAGATGATATGAGTGGGAAAGGTGAAGAGGATGAGGATGGTGATCTGTTGAGATGATATGAGTGGGAGAGGTGAAGAGGATGATGTGGAGCTGTATGTGTGTGAGGGTGGTGCTATGTACATGTGAACAGGATGATTGATGTGGACATGCGTGTGACAGCGATGTAGATGTTGAGAGGACGCTTTGAGTGAGAGGATGATGGTGCGTGGGACAGGTAGCCGCGGCGGCGGCGGCCGCGGTTCGCGGCGGCGGGCGGGATGGCAGCCAAAAAACTAGAACCCCACACAGAGATGTGGGGAACAACAAATCAAAATCAAAATCTAGCTCGTGACTCTAAAAGTTGCTCAGCAACATCGTGGTACACTTCAAGATTTGTGCGTGTCATACATTCCAACAGGATTCCTGTGATTGCAAGGGTCACACACGCCTCCTCGAGGGGAGGCGGGAAAAACTGAGGTTAGGACGAACGCGCGCCCAGCAAAGACAAAAAGATGAAGTCATGAAGAGACGACAAGACAGGACAAAAGTGCGATGAAAGGAAACCAAATGCACAGGGACAACCGATGAACCCCACCTCTTTTTCAAATTTGGGCGACCTGAAACCTGGGTTTGAAGTGAATGTGGTTGTGCGCGCGCACTGAGCCGGACCTGTGTGCGCAAGAGAAAGAAGAAGTGAAATGCCAGGACATGAAGACAGGAAGGCGTGAAAGAAAAGAAAAAATGTGTGTAATAGGGAAACACGATGAAAAGGAGGGAGATGTGGGAAAGAAAAGAACGAAAGGAGAAGAAAGTGCGAGTGTGAGTGAGAATGAGTGAGAGTGAGAGTGGGAGAGTGAGTGAGTGTGAGAGTGAGAGAGATCCAATCAGCTGATTGGCCTGATGAAGGAAGCTTGACATTGCAAAGATGTGATCCAAAAAGTCCACCCAGGAGACAAAATGAAGATACTGTGGGGTGCCCCTTGCACCATCTATCTTCATTCTCGCTCTGTCATCTTCACTCCTCTCCCATCCTTATGTTGAAGTTCATCGTCCCTAAGCTGGCCGGTCCTCGTTTTCACCTACTTGCCGTTAGCACTGATGCGCTCACACCTACCTATCTCATCAACTTTGACAAGCTGCCAATCTCAGCCGCGCACGTTCTGCCAGGACCAAGACAGAGAGAGACAGGACTTTTGGGCTGGTGGTGCTACCTTCGTGAAGGGAGTACAAGTTTGAGTTCATGATGGCGTTGAAGTGGCCATCACCGAATACAATAGCGATCGAATTTGTTTGCTTTTTTGAATTACTTTTGTGAGTGTGTGTCCACGAGGAATTGCAGGACAATTTTCTCTACGTGAAAGGCCAACTCGACAAGGCAAAGTGGCCGTCCCCAAATTGTGGTTTTGTGGAAACTGTTTGCCTTGACTCAGGTTCAGCTAAAACAAGCAGAGGCCGCAGAAAATGGTTCTTCAGATGGTCGCAAGGCACTGACAAAACGAGTCATGAATGGCCAAATGCAATTTTTTTGTTTAATTTGTTGTTCTTGCGAAGGAACTGCAGAGGCACCGACAAACCCTTCAGACTGTGACAGATGAGAGGCTTGCACGCAAACCAGCTACAGTTACTTTGCTCACCGCACTGGCTGCCTTTGACTTGCCAGAAATCGGCTTGCCAACCGTTTGGAGAGCACACTCAATGTACTTGAGAAGGACTTACATCCCGGGGGAATAGGATGGAGTGGGTGTTTTCGTTGGTTTATGCATGCGCGATTGGATATTGCCGTCAGGAGAAAGCTTATCATGAACAATCCGTAGAGCGAGTGACTTCAGTTTGGATCTGAGAAACTGTGCGGGACATCATGAGCTATTGCCAGTATCGCCAACATGTGATGCGGAGGCAAACTCGAAGTTGATGGAGGCAGTGTCATGGTTCTGCACCCTTTGCATGTGCCTGATCAAAGCCCTCAAAAGTCAGTTCTTGAGGAGAAGGACCGGATTTCGAAAGAAGTGGAGCGACTGTCCAACCTGTGCTTTGGAAGACGTCAAATTTGCCATGACTGGCACGTACGAAAGAATTGCGCATTGTGTTGTGTTCCAGTGATGGTCTACCAAGGTACACAGAATCTGTGAATCAATTGCAGTTTGGTTTGAATGAAGCGCAAGCAGGAAGCGTTTTCAGGCTGGACAGACAGTTGAGCAGTTAAGCGCGGGTCCAATGCATTGACAACATGTTGTTTTCTTTGCTTCAAGGGGTGTAGGTCACCGGTATGACGGTGCAAATCCAACAAAAGATCCAAGCAAAAGCGAAAAGCGAACCAAGGGTCTCCCGCAAAAGCAAGCTGCGCGATGCGAAAGCTATTTCCTGCAGCGCGCACATCGATGGCTGCGGAAAACACAACTCAGCACAACCGACCGCTTCAAGCTCAACCATAAGACATCTTCACATGCACAACTGAACTCATCATAACCGGTAGGTCATGGTAGGCCGCGAAGATCCGTGAAGACCTGGAGAGCAAAAGTATGTAGGGCAAGCAGATGCGAGTCTGATGAGAACGACTGACAAGAAGGCACTAAGTTAAGGACTGGAGGCAGAAGGGTTCGGTTCTTCAAAGATCCAGGTTTCCTTGAACTGAAGAACCGTATATAGTTTGTTTGATAAGTTTTTCTTAGATTTGGAAACTGAAGTGGTTGATGTCTCGCGGCAGGTCGGATTCAGAAGCAAATCCAGTGGATCCGGTCAGCTCTTTTGTTGTGGATGGGAGGGGTGCCGTTCGGATGCGCGTGCGCAGGGCATGTGTTCAGCGCCATTCAGAGAACTCCTACAGAAAGACCGTAAGACCTCTGCTTTAAACTTTGAATCCTATTGAAACTGAAAGGGAGATAAGGTGGGCCTTTGTGTTTGCATGCTTTTCGAGCCTCACAAGGCTGAAATGGCTCACCTAAAGTTGCAAGCTGAAGAATTGGAAGCGACAATCCTGGAGAAGGAGGAGGCAAGTCGAATCGAATCAAAGATCAGTGAGTTTTGCGCGCACCTTTGACTAGGAAAATGATGCCCTGAAGACCCGCATTCGGAAGCTGGCTGTTTCATGACGCCTTGCAGCCAAGGCCCGTCACAGCACGTCTCACCAGGACCACCAGCGTTCACCAGCGTCACCAATGTCAAAAGACTTGTGTGGGTTTCTACGCAGCTACTCCGGCACAGATCTGTGACGCCGTACTGCAAGATATTGAGAACGCACAGACACACACTCTGACATTGGTTTTCAGTTATCCAATTCCCAAGTGGAAAGAAGGTGGAGAACCGCAAGGCGAAAGGTCCAAGCACTTGAAGGTGTTTTAACAAAATGGTTTTCTCGTGACTGCAGTACTCAGCGGTAGCGAAGCGAGCGGCGCGGTGCAGCTGCAGAAAACCAAGGTTTCGGGGGCGGTAGCGTGAAGAACCATGGAACCAAAAGAGCAAATTGGACAGCTTGGGCAAAAGTTCAGTTTGCAGGTACACACTGAGACGTCTCTCAGTGCTTCCCATCTCGCTGCCTAGCTTTGTTAGACCAGGTCAGCAGCGAGATGCCTGGCCCCCCTGCTTGAAAAAGAGAGAGAGAGAGAGAAAGAATAAAAGGACCGGATAACCCCACATGATAAGTTTTACAAATTTCAGATGTATATGAAGCACATGGGAGACGGAGTAGTGAGATGAAAAGTCAAGAACGAAGTGTGAGGAGAGAAGGTATATGAGGCGGCTGTGCTAAGACGTGTAGTATAAGTGATGATGTGATGGACGAGGATGAGAAGAAGGGGAGGGAGGAGGTGTGTGTGTGGTAAGATGGCGTGCGTGTGTGTGTGTGTGGGGGTGTGATAAAGTGTCTGATGATGTGATGAACAAGGATGAGAGGGAAGAGAGAGAGAGAGAGTGAGTGAGTGAGTGAGTGAGTGAAGTGAGTGAGGTGAGTGAGGTGAGTGAGGTGAGTGAGGTGAGTGAGGTGAGTGGAGTGAGTGGAGTGAGTGAGGTGAGTGGAGTGAGTGGAGTGAGTGGAGTGAGTGGAGTGAGTGGAGTGAGTGGAGTGAGTGGAGTGAGTGGAGTGAGTGAGTGGAGTGAGTGGAGTGAGTGGGGTGAGTGGAGTGAGTGAGTGAGTAGTGGAGTGGAGTGGAGTGGAGTGGAGTGGAGTGGAGTGGAGTGGAGTGGAGTGGAGTGGAGTGGAGTGAGGGAGTGAGGGAGTGAGTGAGTGGAGTGAGTGAGTGGAGTGAGTGAGTGGAGTGAGTGAGTGGAGAGTGAGTGAGTGAGTGAGTGAGTGGTACAATGCGACTCCGAACCGGCAAGAACCAATACCATGAAATCACAATGGCAGTACTGCACAGACACAGGGTGCGCACATCCTGGCCGCAGCCATTACAATGCGATTCGCAGCCTGTCACAGCCATTGCTTTGCAAATCACAATGGCAGTAACGCACAGAACCGCCCGGGGCCCAGCGGCGACCACGCGCGGCGCAGCCCCTTCTGCAGTCTCTGTGTACTGCGCCTGCCACTGCAGAGAGCGAGGGGGGCCCAGCGGCGACCACGCGCGCCGCAGGCCCTTCTGCAGTCTCTGGACACTGCGCCGCAGCCCCTTCTGCAGTCTCTGGACACTGCGGAGAGAGCCGGAGTCAGTGATGGAGTGAGTGAGTGAGTGAGTGGTGATATCTTGTGTTGTGTGTGTGTGAATGAGTGAGTGAGTGAGTGAGTGAGTGAGTGAGTGAGTGACTAAGTCTCTGCAGACGCCTGGGAGTGTGAGTGTGCAGTGAGTGAGTGAGTGAGTGAGTGAGTGAGCGAGTGAGTGAGTGAGTGAGTGAGCGAGTGAGTGGAGGAGGGGGCGAGGAGGACGGAGGGAAGGAAGGAAGGACGGATGCGGGCGGGATGGCAGCCAACAAAACTAGAACCCCACACAGAGATGTGGGGAAAAAGGAAAAGGGGACTCTTAGTTACAGAGGTTGACACAAACACGAAGCCGGTTCCGGCGCACGTGGAACAAGTGGCGGTTGTTTTCTTGGAGCTGCGAAAAATGTCAAACATGAAAGTGGATCCAATGAAAATCAGTGGAAGTTCCGTGAAGCCCGGCGGCGTAGGTAGCAGTTAATACAGTGGTGAAACAAAGTCCGTGAAGAGAATCCAAGGTATGGCAGCTCATGTGGTCGGAAAAAGAGTTGGAGTGAAAGGGTGCAATGTGAGAAGACTTGTGTGCCATGACGAAGGAAGGTTTTTTGCGGCTAACAGAAGCTGTTGTCGTGTGAAACAACGGGAATGGCAGGCTTGCCTCAGGGCTCGTGGTCGACAAGCATATTGGTAGCCGCTGCAGCAGCCGCGCGGCGCGCAATCCGCAGGATAGCAGTGGTTGTGTTTGTAACGGAGGCGGATGGACTGTGTTTGGCTGTGGGTGGAGTAGAGAGGGAGCGAGAGCAGGCGGTGGAACAAGGGTAGTGGAAGGAGGTTCTTGGTATGGTAGGGGCCGAAACGGTGGCTGGCCTGGGCGTGCTTTCTGAAGGATAGGGACGTTGGTCATAAGAAGGACGGGGTCCTCGCTGCTGGTGGTGGTGGAGGGGGATGGAGGTGGCGGTTTGTGGGAGGCTCCGGTAGCGGAGCGGCCCGTGTGTGATTGGAGTGTGTTGTATTGTTTGGGAGGAGAAGGTGCGGGAACTGGAGGTGTTTTTGGAGGTGGAGAAAAGGCTGAAGTGGTGGTGCCAGTGATTGGTTGCACCCCGACTGGGGTTGGATGGGTGGGTTCCGTAGGCTCATCTTTGATTGACTCTGATTTGATTTCTGGCAAATCCGGTTCTTCGACTTTGATGGGAGGCAATGTGTAAGGATCGCTTTGAAGGTCTTCAAGCGCTGAGGGGCTGAGATCCCAATCTGGAGAGTCAAGATCAATGGGCATGGCGCGGATGCGGAGCCAAATCGGGGGTGTGGGTGCGCAAAAACGGCTGCGGGAAGGTCGCATATAACTGTACAGAAACTGGTGAGATGCTGAAACTGGTGATCTTAGAGCAATAATTTTCCGGAGCTTGAAAGATTCAATGCGAGGGTGAAACAGCGGACTACCTTGAAGAGCCAGTGTAATCGGGGCCTGAATGAAGCTGCCAGGTGCTGGCGGATGGACTCGAAGAGGGTGTTGATGTAGCAGTTTAGAGAGATTGATGTAGGGAACTGCGATGGCTGTGGGAATTGGTGAGATCGGAGAAAGGTCGGTGGCCCGGCGTATGGGCTGGGGATGCTGATGTGGTGGTGGTGGTAGTAGTGGTTGTAGAGGGCCTGTCCCGGGAACGGGATCTGGCACGTGGAGTGAGATGTGTGATCAGGCGGTGCTGTGGTGGGAGGGCTGTTGGCGGACGAGTCAGTGGTGGGATTGGTGTAGAGAGGAAGTTGGTTGTAGCGCATGGTGGGAACCGAGCGGCTGGGTCCATCCTGTAGTGGCCAGGTGAGCCCGGTGAGCCGGGCAGGAATTGGAGTATGCTGATGCCCTGGCATAGGCCGGCGGTGATGGTGACCAGGTGGCGCAAGGCGATCATCCATGAGAGCAGTAATAATTCCGGTTGGTGAGTGGCCGATGGCGCAAGATAGGGAAGAGGGTTCCCTGGCAAATAGTGGGCGGCTGCAGGGGGCGGAGCTGTGCCCTGGAAAGTTCCTTCCATTGGTGTAGCGTCGGCAGGTGGTGAAGCAAAGCCAAAGTCGGAATCAGTCATAGCAGTGATGGTTGGCAGAGCTGATGGCGGAAGGCAGTCTCAACAAAACGGCTGCGGTATTACGCATATAATACAATGCATGTGAAAGGTCATTGGACAGTGCTGATGGTGGGGGGATTGATTGAAAAGTCGTGAGATCGGCATTGGAGCTTTATCTCGACTGCTGAGCAAATGGTGGCTTGAAAAACTATATACAGATCGGCTCACTGTGGTGGAAATGAGCGGCTACGAGATAGAGGTGTCTTGGGATCCGGAGCGGTCTCTGGCTGTTGT